AGCAATAAAAATAATAACAGCAATCGCTTTGATGCTGCCACTAGTCAAAAGTTGAACGCTTAGTGAAGAGATTGCATTTTGTGGCATTTATGACAGCCGCAAATGTGACGAGCAATGTGGCGCTTGGCTAGCCGTTGAGTTTGCGGTTTCTCATTGTTTGTTATTGTCACCGCTGCTGCCGCTATCGAATATTGCCCGTGCAAGTAATTTATGAAATTAAAAGCACATAAATTAATAAATTAATTGGGAGTGGTTTGAGTGCCTGGCAGCGGTAGTGTGTAGACATACATACAGCTGACATTATCGACGCGCACAGGTGGGCGAGCAGCTGAGCGGGGTGCAGGCGGTGCAGGAAGTGCCTGCACGTGTAAACGCGCGCGCTCCCAATGCTGTCAGCGTTGTAGCTCATTATTGTCTATCGCGGCTAAATCATTTGGGAGCGCATTAGACGAGGCGAGATTTGAAATTCGATGAGCAGCCGTCAGGCTTTTAGCGAAAAAAAAACATTGCTGCAGAACATACACATCAGTGTTGCCGCGAATCATTTTTAGCGGTAGCCAAATTCCGTTAAAAAAAGTGCTAAAAAAGAGCTAAAAAAAAGTCGTTGTGGCTAAAAATGGTAGCTAAATTTTTTACTTACATATACATATATAAGTATACACGCAAACATTTTCAACAACAATGAAGTCTGGAAAAAACCTAAGATTTTATCCAACCAAAAACCTTTTCGTTTAAGAGGGGAAATATACGACACCAGCTTGCTGGCTCCATCAAGCGATTGTATCATCAGGCTCGAAGTATATAACTTACCAGGATGCTGGTACAATATTTATTTCTTTACAAATGAGGTCGAGAAAATATCGAANGAAGAGCTAAGCTGCATGGTTGTCGCGATAAAATGACGCTCCTAAATTGCGCGCGCACAAAAAAGGTAAAAGTAAATTGTGCTGTTGAAATGTTATTAATTGTTATGGTCAGTTAGCAAAAAAGAAAAAGAAATGCCTGTGCCAGCGCGTGAGTGCGCAAGCGCAGTAGCCGAACTGTAAATTATACTTATCCCAGTGAACATTTGTGAGAGTTCATTTTGGTGTGATTTGAAATACGAGTCGCTGCAAATCCTCTAGTACCCACCAGCTCTACTATAACCCTACTATAACATATTTCCAGCAGGGCCTGGTTTGCTGGTCTGGTTCAAATGTGAGAAGGCGAAAAACCTCGCCTGCGCCACGATAAAACCCCGCATGCCTTTACGACCACGGCAAACGTATAAAAGACTATGATTTGCACCTGAAATATCCGGACTCTTAATGTGGAAGGTGCCTCTGCCCTGCTTGTTGATGTAAAGGAGAAGACAAAGGCCGACTTCACCACCATTCAAGAAACGCGCTATGTGGGACCGTTTTAGGGAGCTGAAGAGCGAAGCTATACGTATTTGCCGCAATAAGAGGAGAGAGGCCGAAATATGTGAGTGCGAAGAGCTTAAAATGCTGGCCGACAGGAAAAACGGCCGAGAATTTTATCAGAGAGTTAGGCGACTTATGGAACAACAATCATAGCGGCCAAGTGACCGATGTCCAGAAGATATCTAAATTATTAAGTGAACACTTTGAATTGTAGCACGCTCAAAGTAAAGGGGAAGAGAAGTCTGAGCCCCCCAGTGGATGACGATGGAATCGATGTCACACCGGATGACCATGACGAGATACGAATAGCGATTACGATTGACCCAGAAAAGAAATGACTGGCGTGCTTTATTGGACACGGCCAAATAGTAAAAACCGTTACAGCGCCAAACAAGAAGAAGAACTGGGTCGGAACTCATCTCCAGGTGAGAGTTGTTAATTTTCATTAGCTTCTGTACCTATCTGTCGTGGAACCCAGTAGGAATAAGCGATTCTGATCCTAGTAGGATTTTAGCTACACATTAGTGGTCTATCACAGTTCTAGATCTCGTTTTTGTTTGCGAAAAAATAGTTCGTTTAATATTGAAGCTTAGTTGACTAATTTCAAAATTTTCGCATTACCATAGTTTTCATGGACGATTTTGAAGCCTTAATTAAAATTATTAACTAAAACTTCAACTAAAAGTCGACAATGGCTATCGTTATACTACTATATAAAACTTCATATATGTTAGGCTAAAAAGCACAAATATAAAGGGTATGCATATTAAAATTTGAAAAAAAAACAATTTTCCCATATATTCTTGGGACTGTCTAATGTACATGTAACATATGTGGATATACTTAGTCCACTACCTAGTAGGAAAATAAAATATATTATGCTGAACGCTTAACTTTGCCTTTAAATTTCACCTTCAATCGCCTACTGGGTTATATCGCCGGCTAAAATGTGGGAAAATTGTCACAAAGTGATGCCACCAATATAAAGTAAGTAAGTGAGTACAAATAAAATGTGAAAATACTGTGAAAGAAACTGGACGTCGAGGGATCAGCCAGCAGATAGTTAGACACGTACACCTAAACAAACGCATAACTAACAGTTTACTTAGCGCGGCACCGGCGTTGCCGTGGCACAGTTCATCAATAAAACATTATGGGAATGTGGCCCATTCATTATTCATTACTTAGCAGCAAAGTAATCGCTTGTATTTATTTAAGTGGCAACGTACTATGTACATACGTATATAAATAGTCGATTATATGTACATACATACTTACATACACGTATACGGTATGCGCGAATGACTGAGTACGAAAACACGTAAATATATACATATACATACTATAGTTACGGTGACCATAAATATGGATTCAAAATGAAGGACAATTTTTCAAAAATATGCCTACATATATTTACGTAGTATAGAAATATCAAAAGAGTATTTATGATTCTAAATTCTTAATACATTTTAAACTTTAAAAACGAATCACGTTTTCTTCATCGATATTAATCTTTTTTTACATGAATATTTATAAAAGTATAGTAAAACATATTATAATTACAATAGCTTACACGAAAAGTGAAAATCTTTAAAAGATTATTTTATAGGTAAATTTTGAGTCATTCAAAACGAAAACAATACCCTTTTTTTGTTTTTTGGTACTTTTCGCAGTTATTTGTCAAAAAGCGACGTCATGAATCGACATAAACGACGAGTTACAAAGTGCCCTTTACAAAAATATATAATTTGTGCAGATTGCGCTACATAGCATCTACATTTCTAATCCCATTTTCATTAACTTTGGCTCAAAACTTACTGTAGTAATATATCTTCTTTATCGAATTTTTGAAATAATGAAAAAAAAAAAATAATCAAATGAAACTGCGTATTTGATAGAAAATTTCACTTTTTTCGACTTTGACGACAAAATGCAAATGGTCGCCTGTAGCACTAATAATTTTCATTGAAGTCGCCACAAGTTATATATTTTGGTAAGAGGCACATCAATACCCTTCGAGCTGTAAGTTGCTTACGTTGATTGGGAGATTTTTTCATGAGATATTGAAGAAAAGCTACGAAAAGTACCAAAAAACACTTTTTTGAAAAAATCCAGCCATTGTCCGATAATTTTAAAATAACGAATAAAATGCGGGACAAATGCAGGACACTTGGAAAAAAGCAGTACATTTTCAGGTTTTTAAAACTACGCAGGACCGACCTTTGAAATACAGTACGGTCCTGCAAAAAACAGAACGGATGGTCACCGTAGCTATAGTATATGAAGGTAAATATCAACACATTTTCTTATAAATAAATATTTGTATGTACAAGCGTTTTTTGTTTTTGTTTGTCACACATGCATATCCTGTCACATCTGCACTCATTTCAACGCCAAAGACAATAGAAATCGACAATTAAATGCTGCCAGTATTTTTATTCACATCCATTCATTCATACATGCATATATAGTTATATATGTATGTCTATGAAATGTTTGGCTTTTGTAATGATAGTACCTATAGCACTATATAAATAGTAAGAGAGAGATATTCTTAAATATCATAACTTTACGACACTCACATATTGACTAGATTTGACTATTTATTTTATTATATTTTAATTTGAATTATTTGTTTATAAAAATAAAGTTTATTCCTTAACAAACACTAAATGAAAATAAGTTTAATCTTTGAACAGCATTAAAAAAAATCGACAAACTTTCGTAAAAATTTTGAACTTTCTATTTCAATTTTATCTCTTAATATTTTGCAGTTTTTTAGCTCATTCAATTTTAGTCTAATAAAGTGCAAATTTAAAGTAGCTGTGATTTACAGTTGATGTATGGCATATTTTTGACGATGTCGGTAATTTTCTTCCATATTATCTAAGTATGTTCGACGATTTTTTTAATGAAGAAAATGAGCAACGCCTTCATCAAAAAAAAAAAATATATTAAAAATCAACGATAAGTCGCAGCTATGTATTTTAAACTTGAGCTTTATTTGAATTGATCGGGCTACAGGCTATCCCCCCAATAAAATAAATAAATAATAAATATTATTTATGTGCATCAAAAATAAAGTATAAAGTTTTAAAGTTTGTAAACATTAAAACAATCATTAAATAAGGTAAATCATTATGAAAACGCCGGCCCTCAAAATGTCACTCCAGCTACGCCACTGATGGGGACACACTTTCTGACCGACACTGTGTGGTGGAAGAAGAATGATGGTGTGATTTAATTAAATAAAAAACTCAACCGGATTCGTAATTTATGTATGTATCTCAACATACCTGAAATTCAAATAAAAACAACGTTTCGTCTTTTTTTTACTTATTTATGTTTAATAAAAATATTTTCAATATATATTTATATGTATATATAAAAATATATATGCTTGTAAAATATGCTTAAGGTACAAACTACATAATAGCAATAATACAGTAATAATTAAGTATTATAATAATAAAGAGTAATCAATTTAGAATTTCAACAATTGTGCCACACATATTCTCTTCGCTTTTCTGCTATTTTCTTAACTATTTTGCGCCAAATTCGCAGAAGCTTTTAGTTTATTAATAATTATTATATATATTTTTTTTTACGCGCCGTTTGTTAAACATTTCAGCTGTTGCTGGCTGTTTTACTAAAACTATTTAAAAATTACTACATTTCTACAGTTAGCGCGTACACCAAATTGCCGAATACATACATACATACATATAAGTTAGTATCAGCTGATAGCAGTGCAGCGTACGCGCCCTAATTTCAATTACAAAAAGTTGAAACATTTTGAGAATGATGTTGAAAAAAGTTAGTTTATATAAAAAAAAAAAAAAAATTTATTTACGTAATAAATTATTTTTGCTTATTATTATTATAAACACAAAAAAGACATAAACAACGAACTGTTGTTCGTACATACTTTTACATTTACGCATGTACTTTATGTATGTATGTATGTATTTATTAACAGTATAATTGTAACGTATGTAGGCATACATATCTGTACGTCTGTCATTATGTTTTAAATAATTAGTTGCAATACTAATATAAAGAGTTTGTTTATGAAATTACGTAGCAATATTTTATACTTTGTTCTGTGTAAAAGCACACAGCTAATTTTTAGCAATAAAATTTGCGCTAATTTACGGCAAGAATATTTCGATTTGTTATCTTTATTGCTATAATTAAGTTGAGTTGAATTTTTTTTTGTGAAAAAGCAATTTGTTCTCTATTGTCTTTTAAAACTAATTTTTACAACTTCACTGAATTATATGAGAAATAAAAAATTACACTTTTTTGAAGACTGTGATGTACTTTAAATTTAATAGGTTTTTTTTACAGCTTTGTACTAAGAAGATCTAGATTTGTTTGATTTTAAAAAGGTGTTTAAGTTTTTTTGCAATACATAAATTTATGCGGAGAAATTTTGAAATTAATTCTTGTGAAGGCTTCACTCGAGCTTTGCGATATAATATCTTGTGATTAAAAGTTAAATAACGTACCACTTTTTTCGAAAGTTAATGGAGCTCAATACTTGGCCGCAAGCTTTTTACTATTTGGATCCTTTTTAATTGCCGAAATTGGCTGATCAACATGTGCCTTTTAAGACTTTTTTTCGTAAAAAAATACTTTTTTTCTGTCATCACATGCTTTAAAACTTTTAACCACTAATTTAAGGATTTATGTTTACCTAAATACCTCGGTACGTAAGTTCCGCTACATTTTCGTTTCATTAATTTTTAACATTGTTTTCAACAAAAAATATGCACAATTTACTTAAAAACTAAGATTTTTTTCATTAAAAATAAATTTAATGATCTCTAATTTTTCTTATGTTGATATAATAACGCCTAAGCTAATAGGTATTTAAGGAATTTTTATTGCAATTAAATTTTTCAATTACGCTTATAGAACTCGCCAGATAGAGCTTTTATATAAAATGAGTAGAGGGCTTAAAAAGCTTTGCAAGAGTGCAATATTTTGTTCGGAGCGCTTTTCCAAAAACTGCTAAAATCAAAGCTTAAAGCTCACAAAACAGGTTTTTCTTTGAAACTAGTTGCTCGAACGAACCACAACTAAAAGTTTTGAAATTTATTTATTTTTTTTTCCATTTGCTGTGCTAGTTTTTCTCGAGCAACACACACAGCTTTCATTATGGTATTGATTTTATGGGAAACCTAACTTCTTAAGCTTGCGGCATTCCAACCGCCTTCTATGGCTTAGTCCAGAGCTCACCCATTCACAGATACGTTTTTAAGATTTCTATATCAGTGCTGGGCAAAGAAAGCTCTTATTTATAGTCATACAGGCATATATTAATTTTATAGAGAGCCTTTTAAAACCTTGGTTTTTATGCACTCACGACCAAAAAAAATGCTTTGGAAAACGTGTTTCAAAGCTCTCAAAGGATTTCATGGACGCGCATAGGAAAAAGCTGCCTCTGATAGTCGCTTATAAAAACAGAGCTTTTCGTCTGGATGGGCCCATATACAATCTACAGAAAGCCTGAAAGAGCTTTCCTAGCTGTCTTTATATTGACCGTGACTTTTTTAAATGGATTAGCGGGACTTAAGATTATAATAGGCGTGTTTTATATGTCTTCTATGGAAAGCTTTACATTAAAAAAAATTGAAATAAAGCGCACATTTAAGAAAAAGGATAGTTGCCCAATTGAAAGCTACTGTTGGAGACATATGCGCATGTGCATATTTTATTAAAATTTTCTTTTTTTGCATTTAAAAAAAATTGTTTCCAAAACTAATTATAAAATAAAAATTCTCATTTAAAATTTTCACTTAAATTTTTGTTCGAAAGCTTTTTTGTATTTTCTTCACAGATTTTTTAATATAATTTCTAAAAAAATAAATATGATTTAAATTTTAAAGCATAAAGTTTAAGTGTTTTTCACCGTCTAATTGAAAAAGCAAGAACTCGTTTTTTTAAAGCTTACTTTCCTAAAATAATTACAGTGCTTAAGTCAACGATGGGCAGATAGCGCTTAAGAAAGCTCTTCATGCAGGCAAGGCTCCGCCCAACGCCGGCCTTAAGCATACTTAGCTTTTGTAGAGCTTTTCAAAGCATATTAGAATAGGTATTCAAAAGAAGCGATGCATTTATCAAGTTTGTTGTTTTTTGTTTTGCGCACAAAATATTTTACCTATGCATGTAGTTATCATAAGAAAATTCTTTTAGTTTTGTTTTTGTTTAACAAATCCAATATTGTTCAAATTTTATTTATCAAAAATATATAGCAGTTGACCATAATAATAATAAACATTGAATGAGTAAGTTTTACGTTTAAGTTTAAAATAATTAACTTAAGTAACACTACAACTTATGTAAGTTTACGAAGTTAGAAACAAATTAATTTTAAGTACTACTTTGAGTTGAGTAGGGAAAAGTAAAATGTACAAAAAGTAAAATTACAAAAAAAAAAAAATTACACGAAATTTTTTTAAAATTATAAAAAAGATTCACACGGACTTATGACTGTACCTACTCGCATTTCTCAAGTATTTTCCGCAACCGCAATTGCAGGATTTGGAAATAAATTTTTTTTTACAAGTGAGCTTTCTTAATTAACGAGTATCCGTTTAGAGCTTTTTAAGTCAAAATTTAATTCTAGTTAATGTCTAACTGTTCAAAAAATATATCATACACATTTCAAAAGGCGATTTCAAAGCACTGGAATATTTGCATTGTAAAATCCAGTGGCGACCAAAGAGAGCTTTTAATTTCTGAGAGACCATGTAAAACATTTAGATAGCTTTTAGAAGGCCATGCCGCGAGATAAAAGACTCATTAAAACCATTAAAAACTTCTGCCTTCTTCGGGTTATTTTTTTTATTTGTCACGTTTGATATAAGACCCATTAAAAGCTTTAAAAAGCTTCACCAGCGGAATATGGTGTGGTCCTGGCTGAAAATTATGATTTTTATGAAAAGCATAACAAAATCAAATCTCTATACGCATATTTTATTTTGGTCGTCACTGGCATAAACAAATACATGCAAGTACCAAGTTAAGCTCTTGCGGCAAGTTGTGTGTGGTGTGAAAGCTTTTTGGGGCGCGGGCGCAACGGTAGTAGCTTAAAAGTTACACGCTTTTCGTTTACATACATCAAATTATTTTGCATTTATTTTTAAGTAAATAGTTCACACTTTATATTAGCATCTTTTGATGCTGATTTATTGATTTTCACTTAATTTAATTTTTTCGTATTGCTTAAATAACACATTATAAAACATTTTACTTGGAAGAGGGGTGGCTGCGCAATGATGACTATCCACTGATCGAGAAAAGGAATAAAACTTCGCTGCTTACGCATTGATGAAAAAAAACGCGTAAAAAAACTTCGTCGAAAAAAGACGCGTGAACCTAGTTGACGGCGAAGAAAGACCTGTTAAGAGTCTTTCGCCGATGAAGTTTTTTTTTTATGCGTCTTTTTGGGCGGTCAACTTTCGAGCTCACGCCTTTATTCGTGTCTAGTGACGATAAGCTTGAGAACGTAAACACTTTCAGAAGACACTTTCATTTTTTTAAATATTTTTTTCAAATAGTTTTATACAAAAACACACATATTTACTGTACTTGTTATCAGAAGAATCTCAATTAAGCGTGTGGGTACTTAAATTAAAAGTTTTATTTACTAAAAAAATAAACAAAATTAAAATTTTACATATAATTACTAAATATTCAACTAAAGTACATTAACAAATTTTTTTTGTATGAGTGTGTATGTGTGCGTCATAATTTTGCGTTACTTTTTTTTGCAGCAATCACCACGTTTTTGCATATTTAACATTGCTTCTCTTCACTTGGTTGCAAAAGATTTAATCTATTCAGTAATATATTTTATTTGTTGTATAAGTGTTTAAACCGCGCGCATATACAAACATATTTCTTAAACACACACAAAAAAAATTAGCTTGAAAAAAATTATTGTTTAACTGCTCATAAGAGTATTTTGTATTTGTATTTGTTGTTTCATTTGAAACATTTTAAATTCCTTATCTATTTACGTAACATAATTAATATTGTGTCCATTGTTTTGTGCATTGCTGTAGTTGCTGTTGTTGTTGTTGTTGTTGTTGTTGGTTTTACGTCATAGTTATAATAAAAAGAAAACAGCTTACACTTCAATTTACCAAACTAATACAACTTCACTATGTGTTGTTGGGCTTTTGGCCTCCTTCTCCAGTTGTATTCTCTCTTTTAGCTGCCACTGGTGCTTTAATTTTTTTTTTTGCTAATTGCTACTTTATTGCTTTGTTCATGAGTTACATCTTTTTATATATATGTATATGGTCCTTCTGCTCAATGATTGGGCAACTCCGTTAATGTTATGTCATACAAATCGTCTTCGATCTGCTGCACTTCCAGCAGAAATATGTCTTCATTGCAATAGTACGAAATCATATCATCATCAATTTTCGCAGTAATCCTGTGCGGAGAAATAGAAGAAAAGAGAGAAAGATAGTTGTGAGTAAAATTATTTGTTAAGTACATAAAACATTGCTTAAAGGGTGTGTTCGAATTTTTGTGGGTAGAAAAAAATGTTGGGATTTTCGTGATGGCAAAAATTTTCAACGAATCGTGAATTTTTCAAGGTATAAATGTTGCATTGAGAAATTTTACTAGTTCGTGTTGAGTTTTTTGAAAATACAAAAGATTTGCACTAATGGCGTTCGGTGCCTAAAAATTGTGGACTCAATTTTGGTCTTTCGGGGGAAAAGACTTAGAAAAATTTGTGATGCGTGATTTAATTTATTTCGTTATTGAAAATTATCGGCTACACAGGTATGTATATAAAAAAAAAAGTTTCTGAATATTGAACCAAACCTCTATATCCCTTTGTTATTCGATGCGGTGAAGGTCAAGTAGGGAAAAATTCATTGAATAAACCTGAAAATTTATATACATGTGGGTTTCGAATCGCTGAACCCGAATCAGAGGTCCGTTAAACTCTATAATGTAAGGTTCGAGGTTATTTGAGGGTCAAATAGGACCCAAAATGTATTCAATTAAAATGTTTGTTTTTCTTGTCGCTTAAGTCGAACATGGTTGATTCTTCAAGATCATCTTGATGGCATGCCAAGGTCATCCCAAGGTCCAATTCGGAAGAATTGTATTGAATTTTCAGGTTTATTCAATGATTTTTTCCCTAGTTGACCTTCAAATGACCTCCCTGCATTCAGGGCGTCGAAAAATAGAGGTTTGGTTCAATATGCAAAAACTTTTTTTTGTAAACCTGAGTTATATATCGATAACTTTATCGACTATTTATCGATAAATTTATCGGTATTAACAGCGAGTTATTTATAAATATAGTTTTCAATACCTTATCTATTAATTTATCGACACACCTGTTTACCGATACATGTATCGATAAAATTTTGTAGTATTTGGACGAAATAAATGACAAATATTATACACAGTTATCGATTGCTTAGCGATAATTTTATCGATTTACTTATTGGCATAATCATTTATAAACGTCGTTGTGGATCGTTCAACTATTTGGCGCTCAAATTTTTGCCAAGCCCTTGGGGACCTAAAATTTGATGCTACCTACGAATGGCAAATAATTTTATGAGAAGCTTTATCATCTCAAGGGCTAGTGCGTTTGGTATGCACGCGGTATGACTAGGAATTTCAACTGATCATTTTGTATCAGCTGTCAAGAGGAAGATAAATTGGAATCATCTCCACACTTTCTATTAGACTGTTCAACCTTCAAGAGGCTAATATGGAAGCATTTTGGCTCGCACCTCTGAACAAACACTGGGCTCCCAGGGATCGAAATTAGCCGCATTCGAGATTTCGTAATCGGCTCGCGGCGTTGACCTAACTCAACCTAACCTATACTTCTTTCAGATTTGAATCGCATTAATCATGGAGCAGAGCAGAAAAGTTAGCGTGACGATCTAGAACAAAACCACAGTTGAAAGTAATTATCATACGCAGAGCCGCTTCTTTGTACTCTTCCCTCCCTATCGTCTGTCCCTCAATTCGCTTTACAAAGCAAGCGAAAAGAGAAGTCCATTAAGCCATGTCTGTCCGTCCGTCTGTCTGTGTACACGATAACTAGAGCAAAAATTAAGATATCTTAACGAAATTTGGTTTTAGGTAGTTTAGAGAAAGTTCAAACGACGATATTTGTTACCTGAGCCGGGTGTATAAAATTCGATTTCGCCTGTATTTCTACTTCTTTACTTGTTCTGATTAAATATAGTCGTTATTTTATGATTTTGATTTTTTTCGGTCATATTAAACCGTTATTTTCAGATTTAATTTTTACGATTGTAAAATATTTAAATGGTACATAAAAGCGCAGTAACGGTAAAACTGTTCAAACAAAATAAAATTCCAAAATAATGATTATCAGTGACCGAAAATAGCCGTTAAATGACAAGATTTTTGATTTTAGTTCATTGCATAATCGGTTTTATTCGCTTTTTATTTTTTCGATCAATAATAACACTGGTCTACAAATTTCAACTTTTTTTCTGCGAATAAGACGGGACCTGGTGTTTCTGAACGGATTTTTCGTGCTGAACACGAATCCGGGGTCAAAAATGTCCCATCACGTCACGTTTTCGAGAAAAAAGGGGTTGAAACCCCTAAAAACAGCGTTTTTGGCCATTTTCGAAAAATTATAGAGCTGAACCCTGACGTGGTACAAATTTTGCATATATCAGAAATTAAAGGCTAAACCGTGCCCTTTCGAATGAGCCCTATGCCGAATTGATCGCGTGCACCCTTAAAGCAGGGGGTGTATTTGTGTTTAGGGGTGCAGGAAAAATTGATCACAGAAAGAATTTAATCTTAAACGATCATAGAAAATTAATAATGCCAAGGTTTTAACTATATTAAAAGTCGCTGATTACGAATCTGCAGTTAGATTTTAAAAATTTAAGATGACGGGTCGAATATGGTGGATATAAAAATTGGACTCCTAGACACAAATACACCCCCTGATCTAAGGGTGCATGCGATTAATTCGGCATAGGGCTCATTCGAAAGGGCACGATTTAGCCTTTAATTTCTGACATATACAAAGTTTGTAGCACGTCAGGGTTCAGCTCTACAATTTTTCAAAAATGGCCAAAAACGCTGTTTTTAGGGGTTTCAACCCCTTTTTTCTCGAAAACGTGACGTGATGGGAAGTTTTGGACCCCAGATTCGTGTTCAGCACGAAAAATCCGTTCGGAAACACCAGGTCCCGTCTTATTCGCAAAACCCTTGTAGACCAGTGTAATTGTTATTTGTGGATTTTTATTTTTTTCGATCAAATATAACCGTTATTTTGGATCCTAACCGTTATAAAGGAGACTGCATTTTTATGGCCGTTTTAAATCTTTTATGATCGAAAAAAATAAAAACTAAAACAAAGGATTAAAATTAGCCCGAAAAAAATCACGAATAACGGTTGAAATCCAATTTTGACTGTTAAATTATGATTTTTAATATAGAGATCATAACCGTTACGATCCCTCAATATTTTTAATCGAAAAAATAAATCTTGATCTTGATAAAAATTTTGATATTTAAAAGTGGTTTTCGGTCCCTCATGGAAATTGGTTAAACAAATACAAGTTTTAAGGTTTTGATTAATTTACACAAAAGCTGGCTCCTTTCGGGTGCAAAAGTTATTAATAGTGCTTTTCAATAAACATAAAGTTTAATTTTCATTCATTAATTAAATACAACCGCAAGCTATTATGTAGTTATAAATATATATAGGTATGCTAATACAAATTAAAAAATCGTTCAATGAAAAATGCAACTGAAAACCTTCAAATGAAAATTACAGCACAAATGCAATTATTGTAAGATTAAATTTTATGGTAAATTAATTATGCAAATACTTTTTTATTATTAGATATTAAAATAAATAACTAACCGTTGTGTGCAAACTCATGCCAAGTATTTTATGATTATTAATTATTATTATTATTATTATTTTTTTTATTAAAAACAATTAAGTATGTAGTGAGGAGTCCATAAAAATGTTAGCGGTACACATTAGCACAATAAGTTATTGAACAACTAATTTAAGTAACTAGGTGAGTGCAGTGCTGTTAAATGAAATGCAAAGTTGAGTGTTCGTATTGGTGCTTGAATGTTTCTTCTGCCTTCTTCTTGCTCGATTTCGGCATCTCATTGCTTGCAACTGCTGTGCAACACTTAAAGCAGATTTATTTGTTTTTTTTTTTCAAAAACACTACATAAATTTCTATTAAATCAGCTAATTTTATGTGATGCGTGCTTTGCGACGTAAATATGTTCGTATGTAGGTAGGTTTGCATGTTTTGGTCGGTGGTTATGACTGTTGCTTGTTTTACTATTGTTTTCAAAGCTATTTATTTGCTGGCTTTTTTGTTTATTTTTTATATAGTTTTTGTTGGTGTTTGTATGTTGTGTGTATTAATGTTTATGTTTACTTACCCTTTTTTATTTGTACGATAAATATTATTTATACTCGCTGTTGAGATTTTGTATTTACTTTCAATCTGTAATTGAGAAAATGAGAGAAAAATGATGTTTGTATTTTGTTTAATTTTTTTTGGGAAGTTTTTAAATTTTGCTTTATGTTTTGTTGTATGTAAAAACTGGTATATAATTTTGTGATCATTTATTTGTTTTCTAAATTTTGTACAAATATATAATTTCTGTTCTAATTTGCTAAATATGAATAAGCTTTTTCCTACTTGTGTGTTTTCAACGGACAAAAACTCATTTTGCGTCAAGATGTAGGGTGAAAAATTTAAATTTTGTTCGAAATTTTACTTTTGATTGAAATTGAAAAAAATATGTAAATTTCATTTCATTTCAATAATATTAAGCCATATTTTTATTTTCGTACGAATCGGCAAATTTGAAATTTTCCTAGTAAACACTTTTCTATGCAAAAATTTCAAGTTCTAAATTCACACGAAACAAGTAACCGACCTATTAGTTATTTTTTTGTTGCAATTCAGTGATGATCAAAAAAAAACGTTGTTTACTGTTTTATATCAAAACATAGCCAATTTAAACAAATTCATTGTTTTTTGAAGCATATTTTCAGATATTTATTCTTGCCGTTCGCGACTCTGAGTTATAGCAGCTTTTTAGGCAAAATTTTGTTTTTGATCGAATAGATTTGGAAAATACCAATTTTCAATTTATGTTTCTGACGTTTGAAAATCATTGTGTTGTACGTATGTATGTCGGTACATGAATGTGTAGTTTGGAGGCCAGATTGGTGTGTTGTGTGTATATACATGTGTATGCATTTATGGCTGGGTAGTTATTCTTGCACCAGCAAATTGGTCTCAAGTCAATAAGGTTGCAAAGGGTTCTGATTTCGAGTGAGTTCCGCAAGGGTTTTCCTCCTAACCTAGCCCATAAAAGTCCAAACATTGTTCGGTATTTACTGTTAGTTATTATTATTCATCCTAACTTGATTATCTTTCGTTCTTGCCGGGAAGTTGTCTGTGATCAATTCAGTATTATTAGTCTATGGAATATATTTAGAAGTTTTACTTGATGCTTTCTCATTAACTGTTCAATAATTTACAGCGAAAGTCTGTTATAGATATTTGAAGACTTTTGTAAGACAATTGAAAGACAGTAGATAAGATAGTTTGAAAGATTTTGTTAAATCTGGCAGGAAAGTTTTACAAAAAAAAAAACGCTCTCCTTTGCCAACTTTTATGGTGAAAAGCTCTTTTGACAGAAACCACATGAGCATCTTCCAAAGGAAAAGGTAGCTAGCGCTACTCCTGCATTCGCAATGGACAGTTGAACAAAGCACTGGCCTGTCAATATTTTTTTTAAATTAAGTTTTTTTTGATTGATTAAATTTTTTTTTCATTGTTCAAAGAGAAAAAAACATACTTCTCTGATATCATTTAATTATTATATGTGTTTTTTTCTTTTTCGAATTTAAGATTTTTTCTGATTTAATTTAATATTTTGTTTTAGTTTTTAGATTTTGTTTTAAATAGAAAAAAATATTTTTTTTAATAAAATTTTTAGAAGCTTATAAATAGTATTATTTTTTTCTAAATTTTACATAAATACTCGTTTTACAATTAAATTTTTCGGTTATATTGGTTAAAAAGAAAAATATATTTTTTTAAATTTCTTTAAATTTTTCGACCTTTTTAATTTTTTCTCCTTTTAGCAAATTTATCAAAATTCAAGAATGCACCGCTTAAAATACGCTTTTGTTTGCGAAGAAGCGATCATACTTTTGAATTGCTTTCTGCAAATGATTACGGAAAGCTAGATCACGACTTATTTCATAGTTTTCGGAGCTATTATTAAGAATCTGAAGTAATTTTTTTTTATTCAAAATGGCGGAAGATTGTTTAAACGTTAAGTTGATTATACGGGGGGTTTCGGAGTAGCTGATTACGAATTTGAAGTCAGATTGGAAAAATTAAAAATGGAAAATGGAAAAAATGTATATTCTTATTTAATTTAATTTTAAAAACACTTGTTGTTAAAAACAAACAGATCAGCGCCAAGATGTTTCCGTTATCAGATCTTTCAATTAGTATTTCGAAAGGCAGAAAAGAGCTTTCAATTGTCTTTCGAAAGACGGTGGTGAGTTGAAAACGGTCGCCAAAATTTGCCTGCTATTGAAGCAACATTTTTTTTAATTCCATGACGAATATACCTCTATGTCGTTGTGGCGCACAAATAAATATTTTATTTTAAAATTTCAGTCATAAAAGTCGGGCTAACCATTGGGAACGTTTTTTTTTTATTCTCAAACTTTAAGAAACCAGGCTGCGCGAATACGAAATTTTTTAATTCATTTTATAAACATTTACAATTTTGTGTTTGCTTGTGTGTGTGTGCATGAATGGAATGTGTGAATGGGGCGGAGCGATGATGCATATTACTTACATAAAATTAAATGATTGATCGTAGCTGATTGTTGCGCTTGATTGCTAGATAAAGACACAGAGTCAGACACACACACACACACACACATATACACATACACATACACGCTGAAACACACATACAGATATACATATATACTACACATAAAAATGCATATAGACAAAATTTCATTAAAAAAAATTTATTTATTAACGATCTATCAACAAAGTAATCGCTAGCGTTTTCACTGGAAATTTATAAATCATACGCTTTTCGTTTCAGCTTTACCTCCGTTGTTGTTATTGTTTACTGCATTGAATTTATTAATTAATATTTTACAGCCAAGTTATTTGCTCTGACAATTCATTAAACATACAAACATCGATCGTCAATCGCATAGATCGTTGGTCGTTGGGCGTTTGGCGATTGACGATTGGCGATTGCCGATACTTATTGTGATCCTTCAGTACATGCGCCCATCAGCCATTTGCATATGGAATTCGCATAAAATTGCAATTTTTATTAACTAGATTAACATATCTGACAACGATCAAATATTCTTCAAACAGCTAACTGCATTACATTGTGTGTTTGTGTGTTTGCGTATAAACAAAATATTGCAAATATAAACACTGAACTTTATTGGGCGAGCAAGGAGATTATTGCTAGCTTAAATGTTGTTGTTTTTTTGTGTGTGTTTGTCGCTGGCTGCCTTATTACAGTTCATTATAATATACCACATAGTTGTTTGTTGTTGTTTGCCATTTCATTTCAACAATCTTCTATAGTGAGAAGTGGCAAGTGTTTACTTGTGGTTGAGGTGTAGCTGTGGTTACTGTTGTTGTTGGTGTTGGCAGTGGTGAAGTTTTAATTGCAATGATTAATTGTCAGAAACTTGCATTTGCTTTTTGTTTTTCTGTCTTTCATAGCTCTTGCTGTTCTTGTTGTTGTTACAGTAGGTGTTGGGTGTGGGAGTGTAGTATTTGTGCATTGCATTCGTTTTTTTTGTTGTTTTTTTTTGCCGATTCGATGCTTTAGTTAACGTTATATGGCGATTATGAATGATTATTAATAATTAATTATTATTTTGTAGTTATTTTTGGTTCGTTTGGTTAGCTATGCAGTTGATTAGCGGGGCAAAGTGGTAGAATGCAAATTATTTGAGAAAAAAATAAAAAATAAAGATGAAAAAATTGCTATCTAAACTACCGCTCAACCATTAAAGTACAAATAAATAAACATATAGTATATAAATATTTCTGATTAAATGATGAATGAGCAAACTAAGGAAAATAAAATATTTTTTTTTTAGTCCTTGCGCATTTGTGCATTAAAGTGACGAATTTTTTAAGTAAAATTTTTTTTCGATAAAACTAATAAAATGTTCGAACAAAATCGAATTATTTTTTTTTTTATTCAGAATGTGATAAAAAATGCGAACGCTGCAAAATTTAAAATTTTTTTTGTTAAATTTTTTAACTTTTTTCCATATATCTATAGATACATATGTCAATAGCGTTTACCCTGTTAGCTGTATTTTTTAAATTGGCATAAAATGAGTTTTTGTGTTGCAACTAACAAATATATACTATTTATGATGAAACAATGCTCTTTAGAGGGAGAAATTTCTACTTCTTATCTTGTGGGTGGATAGGAAACGTTAAGGAGTGTTGAATTTTTTGTTTGTTGGCAGCATTTATGCAATTATCTTTTTCACTTACCGCATTCAACAGGCCAATTGTGGTGGGCGGCACCACATGCAGCGGCGTGTAAATATCTTCGTTCTCCTGTCGCACGAATAGCATAACGCGTTCGCTGGTGGGCGGTGTCATGCGTCCGCGTTTCAGTGGTGGCACAAAATCGCCCATGGCACTGGGTACCAGACCTTGATCCAGCAGGTGATCCTTCTTGTCGCTGTGGAGGCGGGAAACGAAAGGGAAGGTGAATGATAAAATTATTAAAAGGAGAAAAGCATAAGAGATAGCAACCACTAAACATTAAATAATAAGGAAAAAAATATAAAAAAAAGTTTCAAAAATTTTTGAAACCTCGAAACTTGAACTGAACTGCCAAAAATTCCGTGAAAAATATTTGAAGTTTCTTGGATTTCCATGTCCAAATAAGTCGCCTGTATATCCGTATATTCTATCAAAGTATTGTTGGATCTTTTTTCTATACAGCTTACAAACTATTTAACTGAATAAAGCGCTGAATGACTAAACATTTTAGTGTAGAGTTCTAGCTTAACAGGCTACTGTCATAAGTTCTTCGCCTAAAAGTATGCATCAAAAAATACCTGAACGCACATATAAAGGCATATAAAAATTTCGATATGCGCGTGTTAATACAATCAAGCTTTCGCGGCATATTTTTTGGCACCCCAGCATTGATAACAGTAATTTTGGCGAGTATAGCCTTTGCAAGAGCCACAGCACAGTTAATATACTTTTTGTCAATTAAGTTGTACAATTTTAGGCGCAAACACATTTAGAAATTTGTATCATTATCAAGTTTCATAAAGTATTTTGCTTATTTAAATTATAATCTAATGTTACAAATGTATGTATGTATGTATGCAGTGCTCCCTCTTTCTTTCTTTCTTCCTTTTATACGCTCTCGCTTCGTTTTGTCGCCATTTAAAACTCAACGATTTTTACATATACTCACGTCTGCACGTCGGGCGGAAAATGATTGTGGAATTTGAGTGTTGGCGCCGCCACTTTTTGGCCATGCAGCAAGAATGGTGATGTGCCTTTGAGATCTGGTGCGCCGGTCAAGGAATCAGTCTCATGGCCATAGAAGCTCTGCTGGGGAAGAGAGAAAACATTTCAATAAAATTAGTAACGAAAATTAAGTAAATTTTTTTTTGATAAAATTGAGGCGCACAAAAAAAAATTAAACCAATCTAATCCTATAATTTTTGACTAATTTTGGCTTAACTTCAAATCGACATTTTTTTTAACCCGTTCACATATATTTACTCCGAACTTTATGTTGCCTACTTTTACGTTTAAATAGCCGTTGTTTAGTTTTTGTTGTGTCCTTATATTATATCCACCTTTTCTTAAGTGACCCTAAATTGATTCACAGGTTTTGAATTTTCATAAATTTATGCACATACCATAAAATAATGTCCATTTTTAAAGTGACCATAAATTTATATCTAGATTTTAAGTTACCAAAAAAATTATCTACAGTTTCTAGATGACCAAAATTTTACATTATCAAAAATCTATGCCCAGTATTTAAATTATCATTTACATAAATATGTCAATTTTTTAAATGACCAAAAATGTATGCCTAGTTTTTAAATTACCAATAATTTATGTCTATTTTTAAGTTGCCAAAAGTCGGCACAACCAGAAAAATTAAGTAGTGAAAAGCTCGCTAAAACCATCATCATTACCAAAAAACTCTACCCAGATTCTAATTGACGCAAAAACGATGTGCAGTTTTTAAATTGCCAAAATTATCTGCAGTTTTCAGATGACAACAAAATTAAGTTTTGAAATTCCAGTAATAAATTTATTCTCAATTGTTCAATTTCCAAAAAAAAAAAATAGAAATTTATGTCCTGTTTTTAAGTGATCAAAAATTTATATTTTTTATTTTTTTTTTAATTACAAATAAAATATTTTTAATAACCAAAAATGTATGACCAGTTGTTAAATGGTCAAAGAAACAACGACAATTTACGTCCAGTTTGGAAAATAATTTTCAGCTTTGTTTTTTCTTCGAATGGTTCAATTGAAATATTAACACTAACAAATTTTATATCTTCTTCTTCTTATTTGGCACTACAACCGTACGTCGGTTTGGGCTGATTTATACTTAAAAAAAACTTTTTGAAGTTTTCAATATATGTACCCTCATATTTTTTCATACAGTCGCCGTAAAATTTTCGATATTATTATAAATTCGATAATATCTTTCCAAAAATTTTTCTGCATTTAGTCTGCATTATCCTGCAATTTTACAGCTGTTAAATACAATATATCGATATTTTTCGATATATATAACGGGTGATTTTTTTGAGGTTAGGATTTTCATGCATTAGTATTTGACAGATCACGTGGGATTTCAGACATGGTGTCAAAGAGAAAGATGCTCAGTATGCTTTGACATTTCATCATGAATAGACTTACTAACGAGCAACGCTTGCAAATCATTGAATTTTATTACCAAAATCAGTGTTCGGTTCGAAATGTGTTTCGCAAACCCAATTGCTGCGAACGGCGACGAATCGACATTTCACGGTCTTCAGCAACACTCTCAGAAACAGACGCAATATTCTCTTCTGTACGCACTGTACGCATTCGTGTGGTTGGTTTAATGTCCAATAAAGTAAACTGAGTGCGAAACTTGGTCACAATCGCATTAATTGTTTGCTCACTTGGTCGATTATGTAGACCATAAATCGGACGTAAAGCGAACCGAACACTGATTTTGGTAATAAAATTCAATGATTTGCAAGCGTTGCTCGTTAGTAAGTCTATTCATGATGAAATGTCAAAGCATACTGAGCATCTTTCTCTTTGACACCATGTCTGAAATCCCACGTGATCTGTCAAATACTAATGCATGAAAATCCTAACCTCAAAAAAATCACCCGTTATATGGTTATCCATAACTCTTCGATTTAATTTTCGATAGAGTCTTTGTAAAGTCGTAACCGCTTCCACAATTTTTATGTAACTTCTAATCTGCATATAGTTTTTTTTGCAGTTAACCATAATTTTTCGGTGAAATTACCTTTTACACTTTGGTATATTCGTAATCGTTTTCCTAATAAATTTGTGTAGCTTTTACCCTGCAGGTATTCTTTTTTATAGTTATCGTAAGGTCAATATTCGCTGTTAAATTAGAAATATCGATATATCTTTTAATATAGTTATCGATAACTTTTCGACATAATTTTCGATAACAATTTTTTGTACTTTTGCAGCTTATATTCTGCATATATTTTTTATTGTAGCTCTCGATAACTATTGTATGTAATTACCTACTACTCTCTGCTATATTGGCAATCGTTTACCTTAACAAATTTCTGTAGCATTTACTTGGCCATATGCTGTAAATTTGCTGCTTTTAAAAGCACTGCTAATAACGAAGCCAATATTTGTTCTATTAAATTATTTGAAAAACAAAAATATCCCTTTTACTTTTCACGATTCACTCACCTTTTCCATATCATCGGCGGGTGAAAAAAGTACCGGTGGCTTTTGTAAATCCTGCATTGTATAAAACTCCGAACGATCGGTAACCGGATGATATAATTCATCGAGCTTCTTGCGACCTGTAGCGGTCATTTTACGTTTAGCAGCGCGTCTCTCCTCATCGCGTGTCTTACGCTCAGCACCCTGTAAGCAAGAGAGTAAAGTGGGAAAAATTAATGAGACTTCATTACAAGAATTAAACAGCTATGCTAAGCATTTATGTAAGAAAGATATAAAATTAAGCTATGATTCATTTGATTTCGCTTTGTTTTTTAGTTCGCTGCAATACAATACCCAGCAAATGTACGAGTATGCATGCACACAACATAGCCCCACAAAGGCCAACGAGGTCGCCATTTTTTATACCAATTAAGTGACAATGTGTCCCCGCACGCAATTAGAGCCAATACAGATTTTTTTATTTTTTTTTTTTAAATAAGAATTGCTATTCATTTAATGAAAATTGTAAAAGAAACAGCAATAAAATCAATAATAAACACCTTAAAGTTGCTGAAAAAGACAAAATAAAAGTGATTGTTTGACCTTCAAAGTGTCAGCGCGCAGTCACGTTCGTTGCTTAAGTCTTTTGTTTGTTTGGAGTTCGTTGGTTCGGTGGTTGGCTTATTGAACGAAATGAGCTGCTGCTGGTTAATAGCTTCAATGCTTAATACTTGCTTTAGCTGTTGTTGTTTGTATGTATTTTGGTATCACTGTCAGCGAGTTATGCATGTGTGATTGAATTATTATCGAGCACATATTTCATGACGAGTGCTTAAGAAAATATGTAGTGTGTACTTGGAGATACTTTTTTTTTCAATTTTTGTGCTCTCACAGCAGTTCGCTTGGCTTGGTAATGAATTATTATACAAATTGTTATAAAGTGTGCAGGCGCAAAAAATTAAGCAAAAAAAGAGTAAGTAAAAAAAAACAGCAGGCAAGAAAGAAATGAAAAGTTATTGTGAACAACAACAGCAGCAGCCGATTGAACAATGAAAATAAATAAAAAAAAAAAGCTGCGCAGCACAAAAAAACATAAACAAAGATGTGTGGGTTGGCTGCGTAAAAACTTGTGCCTAAAGCTATAAATTGAAATAGACTAAATTACAAACAGCAGCAGAGCGGCGCAGACTGCGTTCTTGGGTGGGCTGCTGGCAATAAAGTAGCGGTCTGCGACAGTGATATAGCAGAAAGAGCTCTATAAAACCAGCGCTTTTGTACATGTACATATGTATGTACGTATATGTGAAATATAAAAAACTGCGGCGTTGACAATGCTTTTGCTTGATTTATGCGTTGCTATATGCGGCAAATAAATCCAAAGTCAAGCTCAATTGTATAGCGGCCAACTACAGTAGCCAACTAAAGCAACCTTGATGCAGTTCAATATGATCTATAGAGCCATTTAATCGTCGAGTGTTGATGGCAGAGTGTACCAGGCACTCGCTTTGCACACATTCGTATGTATGTATATGCATGTGTATTTAAGTTAGGTATTAGAGCTGACACAAACGTTTAATAAATGACCCGTTGATGAACTTTGTCAGCCAAATGCCATACTTCAACCTAATGAAGCCATCACTCGGTGTTTATGTACATATGTAGGTATGGGTAAGCTACCTCAACTCTTGGTTACGCATATTTGTGCATAGCTGCATGTTGGTAGAAGTGATGAATTGCTGGCGGCATTTTTTTATTATTATTTTTGTTTTTGTTGTACTAACAAACAACTCGCAATTGGCCCCTAGCCGCTGTGTCGCAATAAATGCACAATTTCATGCTGCCACAAATTGAATGAAAAATCTGCAGCAATGCAACAAAAAAAAAAAGACGAAAATGAAAAGGAAGTATTCGATAACATGTATGTTTGTGTGGGTATACGTATGCAACTATGTATGTGTGTGTGTGCGTAGTTTGTTGAAGGTACAAAACGATAATAGCTTCATTGGCTACAGCAGCCAATTATGCAAATGCCTGAATGGAGACATTTATTGTGGGACCAAGTTGAAGAATGTCGTTGAATATTTTAGAAAAATTAAATAGAAAAAGCAGCAGCACTAACAATTACCACGCTTAATTTTTAATGAAGGCCAAGAATATTTTTAGATAGCATAGAGTGTAGAAATACATATATATGTAATTATTTTCAATTAAGAATTAATAATACGTACGAAATAGAATTGGAAGACTTGGATCCCTAGCGATGGCGGCAGAGAGGGACACACATTGACCTCAAGTGAGTATCAGGTCTCACCTGAAATATAAGTCTATAGTCTTAAAAAATCGGGCCACAGACAACACAGAGCGGCAGGTGGACGAGTGGCCAGACCTACGTAACTTTAAGGCATTCTAATACATAGATCTTGGGAACTAAACAGGGAGATGCCAGGAAGCATACCCCCTTCCCCTGGTAACGTGGCATGACCAAAGGTGGGGTTGAATGCAATCTAGGCGGTAATCAGGCTGTGGAGAGCCATACTTTTAGCAGCTTTTACAGCAGACACACTGGCGCCTCAATCAAAACGTGAGCCTTAAGAACTCTTCTTCTTCTTGTCTCATTGAAGGAGTTCTAATCCAAGACGTTGTTTTACCTTTAAAACCTATACAGGCTATTGCCGTAGGGCAGCCCAATGGAGCAGATGGTCCTCCCAGCAGCAGTGGGAGAAGAGGCACAATGAAATTTAAATCAACAAATAAATTAACTCAGCGCAACTTAACAAAAAAAAATTTGGAAATTTAATTCAACTCCAACCTCTCTAATCAAAGCAATTCAACTCAAGTTAATTCAGTTCAACTCATTCCATATGCTATTATAAAGGAATAACGATCATATCCAAGAGAACCATGTATGCATTAGGATGGTCCAAAACAAGTAAAGTCGGAATTTTAATGCACTCACCTTCTAGGATTGCTCTATATCGAAAAAAATACATCCCGGTTTTTAACCGACTTCACAAATAGGAGAAGGTTATCACTTTGTCGGGATATTTTTTTATGTATTTTATCGCATAACTTTAGACCACGTTGACCGATGTCTTTAATTATTTTTTTTTAAGGAAAGAGGTTACCTCACAGTTGTTCCCATTTTAATTTGGTTTAAATCCAATGATTGGATCATGAAGAAATTAACGATAATCTGAAATTTGTATATAAGAACTGGAGTCGGTTTTTTTGTTGCTTAAAAATTACTTGTTTTATTTTGAAATCAAAAAATAATTAGAGGTCGCTCAACGCGCTCAAAATATTCCATGTATTTTACATGGGAACAAACAACTTCTCGTTGAAAGATGTATCGAATTCTTAAAAATCTATATTTTTCGTTCGGAAAACTCTGGTTCTCTTCAAGAGATTTCCAAAAACAATACCCAATTGTTTATGTACAAATTTTTAATACTAAAGATTTTTTATTGGTCCCCCATTGCAATACCTGGCATTTTCTGGTGGTTTTGGCAGACCTATAAGATATAAGTAGTTACTATGAAAAAATGTATAAAAAAATAAAGAGGTATTATTATTTGGAATCTCCTGAAGAGAAACAGTGTTTTCCGATCGAATTACATTGCTTTTCAAGAATTCTATATCATTTCTACGAAAGGTGTTCCCCACAATACATTTTTGACCTAAAAAAAGGTATATTTTTCGGTATAGAACAATCCTAGAGGGTGGGAACACAAAAATTCCGACTTTTCTTTCTTGGACCACCCTTTTGGATTAAATTTTGGACCACCCTAGTATGCATTCTTGGTAGCAAAAACAACTCCAAAGAGCTTAATTCCTTATAAAACGTAACTTTCCTTAAAGCTGATTTAAAGAATATTTCAAAAGTTAAAGTAAATTATTCAACAAAAAAGAGGCAAATTATTACAGAAAATACCATTGACTGCTTGGTTAATGCCAATAAACTTAAATTTTCTATAAATGGATAGTTATTTATCTAATCCCCAAGCCCACACAAACCACTGTGCCATACTTTATCAATTTCATGAAGTAATGCCTCCACACATATTGTCTAGAGAAATACGCAGGCGTACCTTGATGAATAACCGACGGTTCAATAAATGGACAGACATACCAAAGCGAACAATGAACCAACTTAGGCAACGTGCGACGATAGAACGGAAATAAGAGCAAAATTTAAAGCAAAAGCTGCAATAGAGCTATCTATATACGTACATATGTCCATATCTATGTAGCTAGAGACATGGCTAGAGACAGGCATCTAAAGCATCATTTGACTAGTGATGCAAAAGCAGCAGCGATATTGACATCGATCGTTAGAGCGCAAGTGAAGCAGCGCTTGCAATTATGTTGGCGGCAAAGTGTAGCAAATTAAAAACGAAACAAATAGAATGGAGGCAATGAAGAAACAAAAAAAAAACAAAAAAAAAGAAGTCGAATAATCAAAAGCAGAACAAAGGCAAAAGAAGGAAGTTACGTTAGGGGAAACAGCAGCAGTCGAAGGAAGAAGAAGAAGGAGATCGAGCAACTAAAGTGGACATGTAACAGTCTAATCGCTGTACAACTGCTGCATGCCGCATGCCGTTTGTTGCATGCCTCACTTAGTAGCTGACTTAATTTGCCAAGCGCACTGTTTCTTTGTTTGTTTGTTTGTACTACTTACTTCATCAGTTGCGGCTGCCAATGTTAACTAAGTATATAGTTTTTGTATTGTAGCTAATGTTTGTTATGTAAACGCATACATATGTACATACTAAACATACATATCTAAAGAAGTAGAAATGCCAGCAGTGGAATAGTGCTTCTTCGTCTTCAACTATCGCCATTGGTGTATGGCTTTTTTCCATTTGCTTAAGAATTCGCAGCGCTGTGATAAGACAAGCTCATAGAAACAAACAAACAAACACACACACACGCATACATACACTGAATAAATGAGTTAGTCGAGCCGCTGATGCGGATACAACTTGCCAAGTTTGATCGGCTTCTCGCAGTCGCAGGCTGCTTGCTTACATTTGCTCTGCAGCTGTCAATGGTCGTTTGGCGCGATTGGAGGCAGATAGGCGGTTTATAGTTATAAGATCGTATAATTTATAGATGCGGTAAGCACAGATACACATGTACATATGTATGTATGCATCCTCACATACATACATATACACCGACACATATGCACATGAATGCCTTAC